CAAACAGGATCCGCAGGACTACGGGCTGGCGGACGATGTGTTCACCATTGATTCGTTCAAGGAGAATCTGCAAATAAGCATCGTGAAGTGGGTTTTGTTTTCTTAAAAATAATGATTTCTGGAGAGGATTAACGGTGCTGATCTTGCAGGAACGACGAGGAGGGCCTGGAGTTTGATCTGATTGGCGTTTATCCGGCCATTGCGAATGCCTTCCGCCGGCTGATGCTTAGCGATGTGCCCAGCATGGCCATCGAAAAGGTGTACATATACAACAACACCTCGATTATCCAAGACGAGGTGCTGGCCCATCGGATGGGCCTGCTGCCGCTGCGGGCGGATCCCCGGCTATTCGCCTACCGCACGGAGGAGAGCACCGAGGCGGGCACCGAGCAGGATACTCTGGAATACGAGCTGAAGGTGAAGTGCACGCGGCGTCGCGACGCTGGAAAGGATCAGTCTAACTTCGATGACATCTACAAGAACCACAAGGTGTACTCGGGCCATCTGAAGTGGCTGCCGAAAGGAAAGCAGGCTCAAATATACAGCGAAAGTGCGGTGAATTGCATCCACGACGACATCCTGATTGCCCAACTCCGTCCGGGTCACGAGTTGGATCTGCGCCTGGTGGCGGTCAAGGGACTCGGCCGCGATCACGCCAAGTTCTCGCCGGTGGCCACGGCAACTTACCGACTGCTGCCGCAGATTACGCTGAATCGCGAGGTCTCCGGCAAGGATGCGTACCTGCTGCAGAGCTGCTTCTCGCCCGGAGTCATTGGCATTGACGAGAACGAAACCGCCTATGTCAAGGATGCGCGTTATGACACCTGCAGCAGGAATGTCTATCGTTATCCCCAACTGAATGGAGCCGTAACTTTGGCCCGTGTGCGAGACCACTACATCTTCTCCATTGAGTCTGTCGGTGCACTCAAGCCCGATGTCATCTTCCTGGAGGCTGTCAAGGTGCTGAAGAAGAAGTGCCGGGCGTTTATAGACGAAATTGAGTCGGAATAGTTATTTATTTAGTTGTTAAAAAGATTATTCTATGTACATAAGACAACGTAACTTGATATAAAATCTAAGCCTAAGAACTGCGCTTGAGCTCCTTCTTGCGCTTGATGAGCTTCAGGCGGAACTCGGTGAGCACCACCTGCAGACGCTCCTGGCACAGTAGGGCGTCCTCCAGGTCCATGTTGTTCAGCTGCAGGGCCAAGCTCTTGCCAAACAGGTCAAATTCGCTCAGAACGCCATCCTCGGACATGGTGTCATCATGAAAGTCGTTCTGTATCTCCGGATCGTTCTGCTTGAGGCCAATCAGCTCCTCCTCGTAGACCACCTCGTGGACGTCGTCATCCTCGTTCGGTTGCTCATCGACGAGCTCGTTTTCAACCACATACTCGTGATCCTCCTCCTGGTACGCCTGGTCGGTTCTCAGCAGATCATCCAGGATTGAGTCGTTGGAGGCAATATCCTCTTCCTCGTCCTCTTCTTCTGTCTCCATTCTCTCCACCTTTGGCTCGTTCTTGACCCTTGGCTGCACTTTCTTCTTTTGCTTGGGCTTAGGTTTCGTCTTCGGTTTGGCTAGTGGCTTGTCCTTTTCATCGGGTGAAATAATAGAAGCCTCCAATTCCGGGTCGTGCTCATCCTTGCAGAGCTCTCCCTTGACCATGTTCTGTAGGTTTAAAAGTGGAATACATTTTTACTTTGGAGTTATGGATAGGCAGATTTAATGGTAATGGCTACCCAGCAGCAAAGGGACGCATTCTTTTTGGCGGGAAGCTAAATCAAGGATACGTTATAGATTTTAGGGTGTCACGGAAAAGGGCAAAGGTTTAAGGTATTTGGAAAACCTACCAAAATAGCAGTCTACTTTTCTAAAAGTAAAAATCTAAAAGACCTAGAGAAGATATCTGTAGCTTTTGCAAAAAACAAATGATCCGGGGCGTATTGGCTAAACCCAGCTGACCTGGATTCCCTATTTTATGTGGATATCCTGTTTGATCCTGTAGATATTCAGTGTTCGAAGGACGAAATACTAGATTGCTTTCGGATAGTCCCGCCTAGTCCAGAATGCCGTGGCATTTTGAACTTACCTGGTGCTTCCGGGTGACCAGATGCTGCTTGATGGAGGCCAACCTGGCCAGGACGTTGGTATCGCAGATCCGGCAGTGTGCCGAGTAGCCATCGTTGCTGGAGCGAAGCCAGCTGGAGAACGCCGGATACTTCTCCCAATCTGTGCGATAGCGTTGGTGGTACAGTCGCTTCACTTTCTTGTCCTCCTCCTGCTTGTAGACCTTCATCACAGAGCTCTGCTTTCGGCGATACAGTTTGTCGGAATTGGTTAAAAATACTTCTTTGAAAGATGAGCGCCAAAAAAACAGTCTTTAATAACTGCTAGTGGTAATTATTTTGGTATATTCTAAATATTTTCTCAAAAAAAAATCTGAAAGTCAATGCAGTGTGACTGTGGTTCGATAGGTTAGAATACCAACAATTGTTGCCAGGGCTGCAACTTGTGCAGTTGGCAAGGAAAAACGGTCGCATTGAAGGGTTAACGGTTTTGTTTGGACTAAAAAAGTAATTTTACTAGTTTTTAAATAAAATAGTTACTTTATTTAATTTATTGTTAATATACTCTATTACTATCTTCTACTCTTGTATAAAAACACGTAAAATGTATTTTTATATTTGAAATATATGAATCTCGACTGGTTCAAGTCTCCACTTATAAAAAAACTACCTGTAATATGGTCTTACTGAACAACTATGACTAAATAAATCAGCACGAAAAAACTGAAAAGCTAGTAAATAATAAGTTTTCTCGGTATTAGAGACAACTTTGGCTTACCCCGCCATCATGGTCATTCCAAAGGAGATCCTGAGCGACTACAAGGAGTTGTACGAAAAGGCCAACCGCCTGGTGGAGGAGGAGAGCCGCAGTGGTCCGGCCACGGATCCCTTTCGCTCCCACTACAAAGCCCGCGATGTGCTGATCGATTTAAAGGGCCAACTGGACGACCAACTGGTCTCGGTCCAAGCCAGCGAGGAGGATGGCGGCCAGGACGACCACTGCTACCGGTCGCTGCTGGCCTTCGTCTGTCGGGATTTGGGCAGGATCTACATCTACACCGAGGAGCCGGCGGAGGGCGAGAAGCTACTCAATCGCTGCCTGGAATTAGTCACGCCGCTCAAGCAGCTTTCCGAGGGCATCATTCCCTTCATTGGGGCCATCAACGAGTTGAGTATTGTCCTGGCCTCCAAGGAGGAGTACAAGAAGGGCCTGGACATTCTCATCGAAGCGGAAACCAGCTACGAGGAGTTCAAGGCCAGTGGTCTGCAGCCCCTCGCCATACAGGATATGTTCAATCCCGCGGAGGAAGGACAGGAATCAGCAGCGGAGGCGGCGGGACCCAAAGAGCTGGAATCTCTGTACACACTGGTCTCCTTTTACATGGCCCAGATGTACGGCCATCTGGGGGAGCCGGAGAAGTCGGCGAAGTGCTGCCATCGCACTCTGCATCGCCAACTGGAGTCCAAGACGTACGATGCCATCGATTTCGCTCTCAACACCGCCACCTTGTCGCAGTTCTACATCGGAGAAGAGCGCTTCCAGGAGGCGCGCCATCACCTGGCCGCCGCCACGCTGATCATGGCCGAGTACGAGGTGCACATGCTGGAGCCGGAGATGAGCGAGAAGCAGCGCCAGGATGTGGCGGAGACCTTCAAGCATCGCTACGCCGATGTGGCCCGCTGCTGGGCCAAATACGGATTGCATTTAATGTTCACGTCCAAGCTGCGTCTAATGAGAGACGAGGACGACGAGGAGTCCAAGAACCTGGAGAAGGTGATGCGCAACCTTCGGCTGGCCGAGGCGCAGCAGTCCCGCTTTCCGGGTCTCGATCTCACCGCCTGCGAGAATCGAATCAGCTGCGAGTATTGCCTGACCTTCGACGATGCCAAGTTGGTGTTTCATTTCGTTAACGAGTGGCTGGACATAGCCAAGGACTATTACAAGGCCGAGAACGAGGCCACTGAGTATTCCAAGATCGTGCAGGACTACGCCGAGGCGTACGAACACATTGCCTTCTTCGAGGAGAACCCCGAAAACCAGGCCAAGATGCAAAAGCGTCGTGCCAAGTATCTGGAGGATCTGCTGGATCTGCTCGACCCTATATTTTATATGAAAATCTGCCGGGAATGCTGGTATGGCGCCGGCACAGCTCATGCCGCAGTGCTGGATGTCCGTCTGGATATTATTCGGGCCACGAGCACTCCGTCACCGGAGGAAATCAAGAAGGTCAACCAGAGCTGCATGAAGGCCATCAAGCACTTCGAGAGCTATGTCAAATCGTATCTGTCCAAGCCGCCTAGCGAGGAGTGGCGTCCCAACATGGACGTGCAGGAGCAGCGCCACATGCTCTACGCTCACTTTCACATTGGCCGCATCTACTACAAACTCATCAGCGCCCATCCGCTCCAGCAGTTGGAGCACCTGGCCAATTGTCACGCCTATTACAAGAAGTTCGATGCCGGTTGTCAGCAGTACAAGGAGGCAGCTGAACCGCTGCAGGGAGAGATCGGAGTGGTACGCGAAATGCTTCAGCTGCTGCCCCTCAAGATAAACACTGTCAAGGCGAGATTGGGTTAGAATAGACTAACCACATTCTGACTTAACAATTTCCAAAAAAAAAAACAAAAGAGTTGCATTTGCCGAAAGCTTTATATTTAGTCGAAATAAAACTGTTACGCTAAAAGAATATATATGTTATTTGTATTTTGGAAGCGTATATTAAGTTGGAACATGCCTAAACAATAGATTATTGATTTTATCATGTAGTAGTGAAATAAAAGTCACAAGTCAAAATTTGAAGTTTTTTTAAATATTAATTTAACCTTTGTCCGTTAAAAGTAGGTTTTAAATTTCTATCTATCTTTTTTTCATTTCCAAGCTAATCTTACAAGAGGTCGACAACCCTGGCGTCTGGCCATTCACATGCGAACAGCTGTTTTTTCCAAACAGGAAGAGGAAGAGCGCCGTGAGAAGTTGTTGGCCTGGCCAAAATCAGGGAAAATATAGATTAATTGCTCAATCTAGACTGCCACAATAGTTTTTAGTCAATAACAAAAATATACTGCTAGTTGGTTCCTCGAAAAATGGCCCACGCCACACCGCAGGTGAGTAAATAACGAGGAAAAGCAATTGAAACTGGTAGCGCGCCGCGTTTCTGTGACGCAATAGCTGCGTTAACTTTCGTAAAACCGATGGAATAACAAATTGTTTTTGTCCTCCGGCAGGGCGTCAAGCTATTGAACGGATGGAAGCGTCCGGGTCGCTTTGACAAGGGTCTGGGCGCCCAGCTGCCCGAGGCGTACCGGAAGTTTTGGCGCGAGTGGAAGCTGACAACGCCAGCTGCTGTCCACTACATCCCCAAGGAGCGCGAATGGGAACGCGACGAGGTGACCCATGCCATCAAGCCGGTGCAGAATATACCGCTCCCGCTGATCGACACCCCGGAATCCCACCAGGGCATCTGGGGCGGAGAGGCGGTGATTAAGGGTTTCCAGAAGCGCGAGCAGACAAAGCGTCGCGTTCCCCACTTCTGGGTGCCCAATCTGCGACGTTCGGTGGTCCACAGCCATGTGCTGGACTCCTACATGTCCGTTGTGGTGACGGAGCGCACGCTGGAGCAGATCCACGAATGCCATGGCTTCGATCACTATCTCCTCAAGAATCGTGCCTGCGATCTGCGCTCCGCTCTGGCCCTGAAACTCAAGCGTGAGGTGCTCCAGGCCCTGCAGAAAGGCGTTCCCGCCCTGGCCGACGAACCCGAGCGCCAGAAGGAGGTGCTTAGGGAGTACAAACGCTATCTGGCGCCCTATACGCCCGAGGAAATCGATTGGTACGGCCATACCTACCTGGAGGCCATTCGCAAGCTGCAGAAGCAGCTGCGCGAGGCGGAAAAAGTGCTGCCGCATAAGCTGGAGTTCCGCAGTAAGCTGATTGATCAGCTGCGGCAGGCTGGGATCAGCGAGGCGGGAAAGCTGGAGAAGCCGGAGGCACTGGCGGGATCTTCAGCCGAGCACAAGGATTCGGACATCGAGGCGCTGACAAAGCTGTAAGACGTATTTTCCTTGCTAAATGCATTTCCTAATCCTTGGTTTCTTGCAGGGAATCCTCGCCCTCCTCCAGTTGGCTGTCTAAGATCAATCCTTTCGGCAAGAAAGAAACCTAGACCAGTTATCCTCGTTTGTTTTTGATTTATGTGTTTACCCTCGAAAGAATAAACATAATTTCGGAAACATTTCGTTATAATTCGATCGATTCAAAGTTTGTGGTTTAAACGTATTTATTGCAAATATTCGTTAGATTTGGTAAAGTGTATAAAAACAATTAGAATCACACACAGAACGTGAACATACGCGACAAAGTAGAAAAAGGAATGATTGCAAATCCCCAAGAGAATACAGAAATACATGCACAGCGTTGACAAACAAATACAATGATCACTATTCACGCTTAGGACTATGGTTAGTGTATAGCTCCGCGAGCGGGCAGAGAGCTTTGTGCCGTATCAACTCCCAAACCGGGCTACCAGGCCCTAGGCAATGGGGTTCTTCCTCATCAACTCGATGTCGGCCTTCATCATGTCGCTGACCAGCTCTACGAAGCTAACTTTGGGCGTCCAGTTGAGCTCCCGCTTGGCCTTGGAGGCGTCGCCCTGCAGCAGATCCACCTCCGTGGGCCGGAAGTATTTCTTATTGATGCGGACACGAACTATGCCTGTGTCGCTCTCCACGCCCACCTCGTTCACGCCCTCGCCCTGCCACGTTATCTCGCGATCGATGTGCTTGAACGCGGCTTCCACGAATTCGCGCACACTGTGCGTTTCCCCCGTGGCAATGACGTAGTCGGATGGAGAATCGCGCTGCAGCATCATCCACATGGCCTCCACATAATCGCTGGCATGTCCCCAGTCGCGTTTTGAGTCCAGATTGCCCAGCTCGAAGTACTCCATTTGCTTGTGATAGATCTTGGCCACGCTGCGGGTGATTTTTCTCGTCACGAAGTTCTCCCCACGCCGCGGACTCTCATGGTTGAATAGGATGCCATTGCATGCGTACATGTTGTAGGCCTCGCGGTAGTTGATGACGATCCAGAAGCCGTACATTTTGGCGCAGGCTAAGGTCAGATGATAGTGTTATAAGTAAAGGAATTTGGAGAACTGCCTTACCATATGGCGACCTTGGATAGAAGGGCGTCTGTTCGTTCTGTGGCGTCTCCACCACTTTGCCATAAAGCTCCGAAGTGGAGGCTTGGTAGAACTTCACCGTCTTCTCCATGCCACAAGTGCGAATGGCGTCCAGGATGCGCAACGTGCCCACGGCATCCACCTCGGCCGTGTACTCACTGAGGTCGAAGGAGACCTTGACATGGGATTGTGCCGCCAGATTGTAAATCTCCGTGGGCTTCACCATATTGATGATCTTAACCAGGCTGCTGCTGTCCGTCATATCGCCGTAGTGGAGCTTCATCCGGCCGCCCTTGTGCGCCTTGGGATCGGCATAAAGATGCTCGATGCGTGTGGTGTTGAAGGTGCTGGCCCGCCGGATGATGCCGTGCACCGTGTAGTCCTTCTTGAGCAGGAACTCGGCCAAATAGGAGCCATCCTAGGGGAGAGGCGATGAGTAATTGTACACGTCAGCGTAAGGGCTTGGAGGAATGCCCCTGAATACATCGTGACTAATCCATCTTTTACACACCTGGCCCGTTATGCCTGTTATCAGTGCCACTTTATCACGGGAATCGCCTCCGGCACCGGTCGCCGTTCCATTTTGGTCCTTGCTGCCATTGCTGCTGCTCTCGGGACGTGGCTTCTTGCTATCCGGAGCCCCATCGGAGGACGACATGGTTTGGTATACTTTTTTTTATTAAATACTTATTCTAGTTCCTATTTTCACGTCGCCGCAGACCGGAGAGTAAACAACTTTTATTTTCAGCGCACAGGTAGAGGTAGAGGAATAATCGATTTGTCATCGATGCATCGATATCTTCGTAAATGTAAGTAACAGTGGGGCAAATTGTGTAAAATAATTAAAAACTAACGGGAATGAACTATATATTTTATATGTATATTTAGTTTTTGCTAATAATGTCCTCCGTCGCAAATAAATAAAACCGAAAATTAAGACATTTATTCAGGTATTTATTTACTAAAATCAATCTTTGAAGTTGGGAGAATATACAGTAACTTATCATAATAAGTATTAGTTAAGTACAACACATTGAAAGAAATTATAATTCTTTTTAAAAACCAAGTAAGCCTAGAAAAATTATTCAAGTTATTCTCTTGAACTGAACACAGCTGCTTCTATCCCACTGTGTGGCAGTGTTGCACAACGTAAAAACCCACGTACCGATTTTTACCGCATACCTTATAGCGAAAGTCGGACGAAAATAAACGTTGGCACAACCACCTATCTTATCATTCCACCTGCACTCCCAACACGATCTGGATCCCATTCGCCACCGGGCAGCAATATCTTCTTCGGACTCCGAATCCGCGTTACGTGTGCGCGAACGTCGGCTTTCCATTTCATTCTTGGATCGACCGGCCAGCTTGATAACACCGGTGCATAGCGAATCCAAACCAGAGGGCACTTACTAATTAAGTACGACATCCACCCAAGTGATAAAAAGAACTTAGTTAAAGCAGCACAAAAATGACGGATCTTATCAGGCAGGGAGCTCTTTTCCTCATGAGCGAAAAGTGCTATGATAACTACTTCCTGGAGCTTAACTTTCTGGACAGTGAGTACCTGGTAATCCAAATGCATTTCGTACCCATTAACTAGCAATTATCTTCTCCCACAGTTCCCTGCTTTAAGGCCTTGTTGAGCAAGTGCCTGGGATTGGCCATTATCGCCGGTTCCGTGCTGGTCAAGGTTCCCCAAGTGCTGAAGATCCTCAACAGCAAGTCCGGCGAGGGCATCAACATAGTGGGCGTGGTGCTGGACCTGCTGGCCATATCGTTCCACCTGTCCTACAACTTTATGCATGGCTATCCGTTCAGCGCCTGGGGCGACAGTACCTTCCTGGCCATTCAGACCGTGGCCATCGCCGTCCTGGTTTTGTTCTTCAACGGTCACAAGGCTCAGTCGGGACTCTTCCTCCTGGGCTATATCGTCTTGATGTATGTCCTCAACTCGGGGTTAACGCCCATGTCGGCCCTGTTCACCATCCAAAGCTGCAACATTCCCATCCTGCTGGTGGGAAAGTTGTCACAGGCGTACACCAATTACAAGGCTGGATCCACTGGTCAGTTGTCCGCCGCCACGGTGATCATGATGTTTGCCGGCTCAGTGGCCCGCATCTTCACCTCCATCCAGGAGACAGGCGATTCCATGATCATCCTGACCTTCATTGCCTCGACCTTTGCCAATTCGGTTATCCTGGGTCAGTTGATCTACTACTGGAACAAGCCTGCTGGCGCCGTCAAGGATGCCAAGGCCAAGAAGCCCAAGAGCAAGAAGGATGATTAGGCAGTAGTTAAAGAGAGATTTGAACTCGAAACATAGGTTGCAACAACTTCTCGACATTGTAGAACAAATATGCAAGGTTTAAATAAATCAATTCTTAGTTTATTTGCTTGTCCAGCTTCTCAAAGTGCTGCTGGAGCAACGCCAAGGCGCGATAGCGATGGGAAATGGTGTTCTTCTCCGATTTGGGCAGTTCGGCATAGGTTTTGTCGTAGCCCTTTGGCTGAAATACCGGATCCCTGCAATAAAAGTATACAATTTAACTAGCAAATACTATTTTATCGGGCTAATTGTGCAAGTTACTCACCATCCAAAGTCACGCGGACCGCGAGGCTCTACGATTACGCCCTCGGTGATGCCCTTGAAGATCAGAGGCTCGGCATCCACACCATCGCAGTAGCCAAAGGTGCAGATAGCCTGGGCGGACTTGTCCTCCCAGCCAGTTAGAAGGCGGTGCAATCCCTCCGGCTGCAGCTTCTCCAAGAACCACTTGATGTAGGGACCAGGCAATCCTTCGAGAGCATTGAAGCACAGACTGGTGTCCTCCACCAGGACGGGACCATTAACCTGCCTAGCTGCCTCCTTGCACTTCTTGATGGCAATCTCATCGATGTCACCTGGGGATCGTGGGTTGCCTTAGCACATTTTATTCTTATTCAAGAAGTTTCTCACATACTTACCCTGTAATTCTGGAAGATCTATCTTCTTGGACACAATTGTGCGCGGAAAACTGGGGCCCAAGATAGCAACCAATTCCTCCAGCTTCTTGGCGTTGCCGGTAACAAAGGTAATTGGTTTCGACATGGTAAACCAAATTCAATTGTCCTTCAATTTAAAAAATTAGCCACAATTTTAAGTGACTTCTAGACTGAAGCATGCGGGCGAAATCAGCTGTTTTTTGTTTAGCTTGGGCGCCAAAACAAAAACGGGGTGGTTATCACTCAAAAGTTGGTTTGAATTTGCCACACAAGCGGGCAAACTTAAAGATAGTATGCATAATCCTTAACAAAAAACTATATACTATTATTTAAGAGCCTTGACAGTAGCTAGTGGATTTTATTCAATATTTGTTAACTTAATTTAAAAACAGAATTTCAATTCATATGGAGTTTTCTTTTTCATTTTTGGAACGACAATGGGTTTCTTGGGATGACAAACTTGGAAATAAATAAAACATACACATGAAAACTTTTCTGTTGGACAACATTCGACCCGGTGGCCTAGTCGTCCAGAGTGAGATGCAGATTGGCCGACGGATGCAGGCCGAGTTCCTTCAAGGAGCAATCATTGTGCTCTGTCTCGAGGGATTTGCGCGGGAAGGCGCATATGAGCTTGTAGCCCTCCTGCGGGATGTGCTTGTGCGTTTGTCTGATGTACAGCCTCAAAGTCTGCAGTTTGGTGTCCGATGGCCAGCGCAGCTGCACCATCTCTTCTTTCCCGGCGACATTAAACAGGCGCAGCTTCAGAGCAGTCAATTCACTCTTGGCCTCGCCCAAGTGATTCTCGTAGGAAGCGGCTGCCACGCCCTTGAGCTCCTCGTCATCGAACTCCTCCAGGCTTTCGTTATCGCTGGCTTCCTCGGGATTTTCATCTTTTTTCGTGCCTCCGCCGCCTGCTCCTCCGCCGTTCTCGTTTATGGAATTCTTGATCGCCAACTCTAGCTGCTCCTCTTCGGTAAGCTCCAGGACCTTGGCCCGTTTCTTCGGTGTTCCTTTAGAACTGGCTGTCGAGGAGCACGAGGCCTCCGGATCGGCCTCCTCGTCGTCATCAATGTATGTGGCCGAGCGTTTTGAGGTGCTGGGTGCATCCTCCTGGATAAAGTCGCGGTGCTCCTTCAAAAACTTTCTCAAATCGGGAAGTATGTTCTCCAGCTTTGGCTCCACACTGCGCCACACTTCCTCGCCTGTACGCGGATCAATCACGCACAGGTAGGGCAGAGTGGCGCAGTGGTAGAAGGCCACGAAGCGTCGTCCCTCCGAGGTGTCGTTGTCCACCTGCCAGAAGGTGAACTGGCGGCGTATGAGTTTCTTGAGCTCCTTGTCCGACCAGACATCGCGGTTCAAGGTCTGCGACTGGAAGCTGTCGTCCTGCACGTTGACCAGCAGCCAGCGCTGTCGCTTGGTGGCGAACTCCCTGGCGGCTGTCAATGATCCGGAGTAGAGTATGTCTGTGGGCGGGCGGAACAGGTCTCCGAGGCGGGATGTGCTGGTTGCCGTGCCCGTGGTGGACCGGCTGTTAAGTGCCATAGCCTGGCCGGCCACCACCATCTGGGCGGCGCGTCCGCGACGCAAACGATGGGCATTCGGATCGGCATAGACGCCGGTGGCCTGCAGCTGCTCCTCCATCAGAGCGCCCTCGCGGGCAAAGTCCCTCAAGGGATAGACCTTGACGCGCTGCGAGACGCGCGATAGCCGGCTGCTGCTCCCCGACGCAAAGAAGTTGTCGTCCTCGGGCAGAATCAGTTGCTCCCGCACCGGAGCAATGGGCGCCCTCACCTCCTCCTCGTCGTCCAGAAGGGGCAGCGATCCGGATGCAGCCCCAGAGCCCGCCGCCGACGAGGATGTGGATGCAGCCTGCTCGAAGAACAGGGCCACGGCAGCGGACACATCGTTTTCACAGGCTCCCAGATAGTGCTTGGCCTCCTCCGCCGTGCAGGCGGTCACCTCGACGACCTGCTCCACCAGCGCTTCCGGCGCCTCGCTACTGGACATGACTCTGCTCTGGAGGATTACTGCTTGGAGCGCTTGTTAAGATGCGAGGTCAGGAAAATGCGAGTAAACGGGAAAACAGTGCGATTTTCCAGGGACAGATAAATGCGTCCGCACAGCTGTGAGAAAATGCAATGTAATCGATTATAGTCGATAGTTAAATTTGGCGATAAAGATTTTAAACGTTCTCTTTTGGTTTATTATTGTTTTTAATATGTTTATAATATATATAGCATATGATATTTAAGGAACAACTGTATGAGACAACAATTGGGCAAGACACAAATAATTTGGAAAACTTACAAAGGCATAGCTCGCTTTGATGGAATATGAAGGAACTTTTATATATAAGGATTTGAAATAAACTGCAAGTAGTTATTTGGGAAGACAAATTTAATAAAACTATAAATATAAGGGTATTATAACTTTTAAGTATCCTCTTAGGATAAATTTAGATTAAATTGAGGTGAAGCTTATATAAATAAAGCAAAAAATGAACTCTGGAGAAGGAAACTGAAAGATTAAATTACCTATATTTTATATACTTTTATTAAATTAATAATATTTGCAAAATTCTCTAATTTTATTAACTATTTGTTTCCTATTTCCTTGTCAAAATGTTAATTTGTGACGTCACTTGCGTCACCTTACTACAGAAAGCTGCACTCCAGTTGGAGCGGTTGGCCACCACTGCCTCCGCCAGTCGTTGTGCAACACTGGTCTGGTCAGCAAAGCAAAAAGCAGAGGCAAAGGCAGAAAGAGTTTGCGTCTCTTACGCGAAAATCAAGATAAGATTCGGAATCGAAGGGGTCCCTAAATATGACTAATCTGCGCCCCGTTTGATCGGAAGTCATCAGCCCACCCACTGGCTAATATGTGAGCGTCGTGAATCGGAGAAAAGCCAGCAGCCAGCAGTTTCCAATCAGAATCGAGTGCGATACAAGTGCAACAGTGAGAAAAATTGAAAGTGATTTTCGCGAGTTGCGGAAAACCCAGTGCCATTTGCATACAATATATGTGTATCAATGATTTTTGAAGGAGCCATGTTGCGCGGCTTCAGTTGAACTCTTCAACCCGGCAGATACTCCCAGTGGCTGCTTATTTGTTTTCCTTTTTGTTTGTTGTTTATTGTTGCTGCCCGCTGCTGACGTCGCAAGATGGTCTCGCTGATAAAGAACCAACTACTCAAACACTTGTCCATGTAAGTTTGCCACACTAAGTTCGTTTTGCGCCCAGCAAATCGAATTACGAAACTTGATTAAAACAGCTTGCAAAGTGGAGAACTTGGACACGGAATTGATTTTTCCCACTTTTCCGCATTCTGAGTGATTTTCTGTGTGTGTGTGTGTGTGTGTGTGTGTGTGTGTACTGTTCGCAGCTTCCCACCCACCCCACAGTACCGTTAGTCGTTATTCCACCTGTACACTGCCCGCTTTTATGCCTTTTTTATCGTTTACCGTTGGCCTGGCCCCATGCTAATTCGCCCCACGCCCACCCCGCCCCCTTTTTAAAGTAACAAGTGGATTGCCCTTGCCAATTCCCACCCACCCATGCTACATTTCTTTTTTTCCTCCTCATCTGTTGTTTTTTTTTGTTCTGGCGCCGCATCGTCGTCTCTGCGAAATCGAATTCCCATTCCCCTAAACTCGTTTTCCAGCATTTGCATGCAAAATTCAATTTTCCGTCTTGTCCTCGCCGCAATATGGTTTACTTATGACGGTTACCCGATATAACCCTGATGTAACCGAGAAAATAAAGGGGCTCTTACGGCAAAAGCAGCGAAATCCAATGTTTATTTGTTTACTTGAAGTTATAAACAATGCTCCCCCAAAGAGGGTTCTCTAGATTGCTTAATAAGGGTATTACATATGCACCAAAGGTAAATACTACATTAACCTGGAGAATTGTAAATATTGGTCAACATGGTTTAAAATCCCCTTTAAAGAATTTTATTTTCATAGTTAATAGTTCTTAAGAAAGCTTGCTTAAAGAAGCTTTAAATACTAAATAATTTATATCATTACCAATTATCTAATTGATATTATTTGCAATTAAACGAAGTGTTCTTCAAAAATACAGTCAATTCCGGGTTTTAAAATAAATAATTCCGATGCTATCAACATTGTAAGCAGGGTAATACGAAGTAAACAGTTCACCCATAAATATGGAGATGGGATAAGTGTTCTTAATAAAGATTAACCCTATAAGGTTAATTGCCAGAGCATTATGGTAATTATTTTCTGTGAAATCTCCTTATGTATACCTGTATTTATAAGTTATAAATACAAAACAGGTCAACTAGCTTATAAACACAGTTAATTAGCTTTGAAGTGCGTTTCCCTGGAAAATACATACTAATAACGCTTTCATACTCTATTCCGAGTACTTATTTTTATATATTCGCAGCCCACGCATGGTCTTTAATATGTCAAGTCCTGCCACCTGCTTAAACAAAGGCATATTTACCCGTAAACACATTGCCATTGTCTTGGCCCCTCTGTGGATATATCTTTTGTGCCCCATTCGGCACTTTCCCTTCGGTTCTCGAGTTCCCTTCCACGCAATTAGGCTGCAAACAAGCCAAGTTTATAACATAACGCGGCCAAAAATGTGTAAATGCAAAGCAAACTTGTTGCCCAAGTTGGGAGGGGGAAAAGTTGGGGATAAAAGAAAAGCTTTTTATAACCCCGACGAGGCTGCTACCATTTTTTGTACTTGCCTTGAAGTTGAAAAGGTATGTGGGCTAACCTGATCAGCATTTATAATATCCAAGGGTATGGGGATGGAGACTCCTTAATGCCTAGGACAAAGTTCTTAAGTAGAAAGTTGGGGAATTCCGCTCCCGTGGACTTCTCGCCACTTTGACCCAATCAATGTCTTTATTTCGATTTCAATTATGCCCGGCCATTAGCGGGAAGTGGGTCAATTGGGTGGCAAGCATCTGGCGTCGACAGTTCCGAACCCCTTATTATGTATGTAGTTCCTAGCCTCCATGTAAACCCCCCTCTTAAGAAATGCAATGTGACGTGTGCGATGAAGCTGATATAATTGTTGGGACAGCCAGGCGACCCAAGTTGTTTCTCCCTCAACTGTATTATCCCTCACTCTAATTATAGATATACGAAGAACCTCTCCTCGGACAAAATCAACCTGAGCACCTTTCGCGGCGAGGGCGAGCTCTCGAACCTGGAACTGGATGAGCGGGTGCTCACCGAGCTGCTGGAGCTACCCAGCTGGCTGCGCCTCACCTCCGCCTGGTGCAATCATGTCTCCTTCCGGATTAGCTGGACCAAGCTCAAGAGCGTACCTATAACGTTGGTGAGTAATCCCGGGGATTAAGGGCAAGTAATGGCAGAAATATAAGAAGGTTGCATTGTTTTTTAAAGACCATACTTAAGAGCTTGTTCATTGAGTATGCTTTTAAGTGAACAATAACTACAAGATGAATTTAAATATCTGTTTTTATGGTTATTGCTTAAATTATATATTTTAAAACATTTTTAACTGTAGAAAACAGTTGTTACTTCAAATAGGTTAAAAAATGTGTGAATCATATAACATTTAAATTTGTTTTTTTTACCAAATTGGTCTTCTATTATAAGTCTTTAAATTGTGGAATCAACTATAATTTAAAAAGAAAGTAAAATATAAAATCTTTGTTTTTAACTAAAATCTTTAAAATAAAGAATCATTAGGTTTGGATTATATTTAGGATTATGAATATGTTATATTTAATATTACAAATTATTAAGTAATCAAAAAGCCCAATACATGAATTTCTAATCTTATTCACAGACCCTGGATGAAGTGCGCATCACCATAGAGACCTGTAACCCAACGACTCGAGATGCAGGCGGAGGATCGGGAGCAGGCTCTCCCACCGCTGCTGCCGCAGCTCTGCCGCAAGTGCCACAGGGTAAATACAGCTTCATCCACAAAGTAGTCGATGGCATCACCATAGTGGTCAACACGGTGAACGTGAACTTCGTGAGCGCCGCCTTCACCGCCTCCGTTCAGATGTCGCGCATCCGTGTGGAATCCAAGACTCCCAAGTGGGCTAATGCCGATCTTCGGCTGACGCGGCTCAAGGACGCCCAGAAGGGCATCATACTGATCTTTAAGGAGCTCTCCTGGCAGACGGTGCGCATCGAGGCGAGTTCCACGCAGGACAAGTCGTTGACACCACTGCGACTGCTGACCAATCATGCCAGGTGCCGCATCACGATCCGGAAACGGCTCTCCGACTGTTCGCTGCTCGCTTCCCGCCTGGTCCTCATCCTGGACGATCTGCTGTGGGTGCTCACGGACTCCCAACTAAAGGCGGCTCTGCATTTTGTGGACTCCCTGTCCGGATTGATCAAGGCAGCCACTCATGCCACCCAGAAGACGAAGGCGGCTCGCAAAATGCAGGTTAGTAAATGGATTTGTAATCACCATGGAATAGTTATTTGAATGTAATCCCTTCCAGACACTGCCCGAGTACAAGGCCCAGGTGGAGCAGCAGCAGAATCGTCTCTCCGAATCCGCCCACACGACGAATGCGCAACGTATGTTCAACGCCTTCGATGTGCGGGAGACCTCGTATCATTTCTTTAGCCAGCGGATTGATCTTCATCTGTGCGACGACGAGGGAGACGGACGCTCTAGCTACCCTGATCTGGACAAGGGCGGTGCCCTTCAGGTCTCGGTGACCGCCTTTCAGGTGGACTACTATCCCTATCACCTGGCCAAATCGGATCGCTCGCACTGGGCTAAGTACAAGGAGGCCTCGGTGGCACCGGCTCTGTGGCTCAAGGAATCACTGAATGCCTTTCGGGAGGCCGTGCTCAATCTGAGTCAGCCCAATCGACCGGCCACTCATGCGCCGCTGGAACGGAGCACTCCCGCCTCACCGATTATGCTCAGTGCCAGCATGCTGGGCTCACAACATGGAACAGGCAGCTTTTCGAATGGCAGCAGTACGCCCACAGCAGCCGGATTGGCTGGGGGTTCGGGAGGAGGTTCAGCTGGTTCCGGCACTGCCTCCGTCAACAGTCAACTGTCCCAGGCAGCGCAGCAAAGGAGCACTTTGGAGAACCTGGCTAAGCTGATGAGCTCATGTGTTATCTTGCGTATCGAGGACTTCACCCTGTATCGGGTGACCACGTCGGGGAAGAAGGCCATGCCCAAGGAATTTGTTTCGGGTATGGATTTATCTTGAAACGTAATAGACATCACCAACAAGCCACGCCTACATAAAGACCACAAACACTAAACGTAATCAGTAGGCTTCACTTTTATGAACTGATTTTATAGGAGAGTACATCTTCGAAGCCTTGTTAAACATCTCCATATTTTAAGAAATGATTATATGGAAGGGTACTTGTTCAAGAAGTTGGTAAACTTTATATGATGTTATATCTTATCTAATAACTCGGTTCGGAAGATTGGCTCTTGAGCATCTCCATATCTAATGAACCTATTTTATGGAAGAGTTGTTCTTCAAGAACTTGTTAAACCTTAATGATAATGTTTTATCTCACCTGATAACTCAGTTCGTAAAAATGGGTCTTTAGCATCTCCAACTAATGTAACATTTTGGCCTCTCTTTCTCTCGTTGCTTTAAACTAACTCAACCATTCCATCCAATCCATGAATCATCTTAAACGCTTTTGTTGTTGTATTGTCGTTATCGTTGCAATTGTAGCGCAACATAAAAGGAAGAGCAAATCCTCAGGTGAATATCACTAAGATTCCAACTCTGCTGATGTCATGTTGCATTTGAACTTAACTTTACTTAACTGAAATTATATATGGGAATATTATTGAATACATAATCCATTTGCAGGTGACAAGGATCGGTATTCCTTTCCTGCCGAGATGCCTATTATACATGCGGAATATACTTACTTCTACTATCCTGGGGACTTTGTCTTTCCATGTGAGTTTATCCTGCATTACCATTATTTCCTAATACTCATCCTTTTTCTTGCTCCCCCAATAGTGCCTCCTTCGAAGGTCTTTGTGCATGTGAATCCCATTCAGGTTCACTTTGATCTCAGCTCAATCCTGTGGCTCAACTCCTTCGGCCTTAATCTGCACGAGAGTCTCCTCCGCACCAGCGTGGGATCCCAGAGCACTCTGCATCCGCAACAGGAGCAGCTGCCACGCGGCTCGATTGCCTCCAATGGCTCCAATGGCACACAGAAGGCAGCCGCCGTCAATGTTGACCAGGAGCCGAATCTGATGTACATGGATGTCAAGGTGGAAGCGATTATGCCGCGTGTCGTCATGGAGGCAGCGGTGGATGCTCCCAGTCAAAAGGATCGGCCCAAGACCATGCAGATTCAGGTGTCCCGCTTTGCGTTGACCAACATCCGGGAGATGGGAAGCTCAAGGGCGGATCTGGCCCAGGCCCTGCACTCCCTGCAGGAGGGATCCCTGGTCTTTGGCTCCGGCTTTCCTTCCGTCGAGGGTGACATGTGCATCGTAACGGATCGCATTCTGTCGCATGTGGCTGCTTCGGATGTTAGCATGATGTCGCCCGGAACGCCGACGACGGGTCAGCAACTGCCCCGATCCGCATCCACGCAGTACCTATCCCGTTATGTCATGTGGCTGGAGCCGCGGGATGTGTGGTGCATTAAGCTGGACCCGGTTTGGGTGGATTTCATGGGCGCCCGCTCGCTGGGCCCCAACAAATCCATTCCGTTCGTGGACGCGGTCCCCATCACACTGTGGCTGCACTCCGGCTCCGCCCAGGCACAACTGGATGTGGGAAAGAGCGGCGGGAAGGCGGCCAGCATGGAGAGCATGGGCCTAGCCCCTCTGCCCACGCTGCCGCCCCTCCAGCCGTGCAATCCCTTCCTGAGCGATGAGGATGTGCGTCTCGCTGGCGTTGCCGCGGGAGCCTCTCCACCTGCGCCTGCTCCGGATCGCACGGCGGATATTCATGCCATTGCACACATCTCGAACCTGGTCAGCCTGCAGATCGATCACTATCAGCTGCTCTTCCTGCTGCGCCTCGCCGAGGAATTGAATGAGATGTCCACCTTCCTAAATCTGGACGCCGAGCGCATATTGCAAAAGGTATACAGATTGTTTGGAATAACGATCGTGATCATTTTTAATCCAAATCCCGTTTTGTAATTCCCAGCAAAACGAACAAAAGTCTATCATTTTTGGGTGCGTTGTGCCGCAGATCGAGGTGACGCTCGTGATGCCATCGCCAACACCTGGTAAGGAATCAAGTGGTGGTGATGCTGAAAGCGTCGTACCCGATTCAGCTAGTTTGGGTGATGATTTACACATGAATAGTAAGAATTTATATATCTTTTGTTGTCTCTTCTTCAACTATCTTTAGTTTTATGGTTAAGTGACTCCTCACAAAAACTAACAAAACTGCGATCCAACACACAATCTAGTTAATGTCTAACCTACACGTAGTTGTCACCGATATCGTGCTGTTCTTAGTCCTAACCCAGATAAAACTAACTAATCCTCCCATCACTCAGATCACCAGACTAACTAGAATCCTGCTAGGAGCCAGTTTACACATGCCGCTGTAATTGTCGCTTACGAATCGTACCTCAACTTTTACAATTGTTATGCGTTTAGGCTGGGCACCTAGGACCTTAGACACCCCATCTAGGTGATGTTCCACTGAAGCCGATTGGAAATATTAAGCATATTCAATTCGGAAGGCATATAAACTGGAGTCCGAAATGAATTAACAGTGTGGGAGACTTATTTTGATTCGAAACATTTTTTAGTACGATTCGAAATGTCTCCATGAAAGTGACTCACAGAATTCTAAAGAACTCGCGTTTTTTATCATTATGTTAACAAACCGCACTTTTTATAGTCTTGCGTTAGAGCTTCCTAAAACAGAGAAAAAACAAAAATAGCACCGCGAATTCTTCAGAAGAGCATGGTCTAAAAATGATTTTTTATATTTTTATGTGAGAGCCCAATTGTGATTTAAACATTCCGTAGATTTAATTTAAATATAAGTGAATACTGTATTTAAATTATTACTGACTATGGATAGGCTTCTTCCACTTGGCTTCAGATAAACACACCTTATAAATATCTCGCATGTCTTTTTGTACTAAATTACTAAGCCAAGCAGCAATTCTAGTGCATATATAATATTGTAAACTGATCGTAAACCTTAATTTGTAATCAAAATTTTTAAATAATACTGATAAACCCCAACCAGGCGGCAACATCACCTGGCCCACACCACCGCCATTGGATCAGCTGAAGAGCAATACCTTCGGCAGCGTAGAGACACCTTCCCCGGTGACCAATGACCCGCCTTTTGACAGTGGCATCCACATATCCAATCCCAATACGCATGGGTGAGGTTAACAAGATTGAAATGGAATGTATTCAACTAATTTTCTTCTCTTGCAGCTATAATGTTCAGATACAAAGTACGCCCACGTTGGCTTCATCCACGCCTAGCCAGGGATCTCGTCCAGATACGGGTATCTCCACGCAATCGCAATCCCAAACGCAATCGATCTCGTCCGCCTCGAAGAGTGGCCGGAGTGCAGCTAGTCGAACCGGCGGAGGCGACGCCGTGCCCAGTCTTACCAAGGAGATCAACTCGGGACTGCTGTCCATGAAGAAGGGTTTCTCGAGCTTCATGACCTCCATTGATTCGGCCATTAAGTCGGGCACACCGAACGACGATGCCAGTGATACCTTCTCCATACAGAGCGACATTAGTTCCGATTCGGAGAACTTTGCCATTGTGATGGGCGACGACAAGACCATGGACTGCATGGATGTCATGTTCCGGCTTAATCCCTTCACCAATGATAACAACATGAAGGCCTCGCCGGTGGAGGTGGCCAGTGAGGTGTACGAGGAGCAGCCGAGCAGCTACAAGACGAACATGTCCTCGCCATCGGAACCCTCGGAGGGCAGCACCTGGCGGCGACGCGATCTTGTGTCCATGGCCACCTTTAGGTTGCTTTAGTGTTAAATATTAATTGAAAACAAGTTGATAAAGTATATCCATTCAAGGTTGACCACCGTGGAGCTGATTCGTCAGCAGGAGGGTCCCAAATCCTCGGTTCGCCTGCAGGTGGCTGCCGTTTCCTGTGACGAGTGTGGCGCCATTCCCTGGGATGAGTTGCAGGTATACTTTTCCGACGGTTTCCATTTGCTTTTGCTGGAATCTTTTTAGTTCCTTGTCTTTCATTTGTTTTCTGTTTGATTTGTAAATATGAAAACAACCTTAATTCAATTGTTATTCTTTAGTTCCTCTAAAGATTTTGCTCAATTCAATGTTTTGCGCTTAACTTTCTGCATGTTTCGATATCTTTTATCTGAACATTTTCTTATATGAATCACTGTTAAAGTTTCTATATTTTCCAATATGTTGGGGAATCCCCCAAAGTGTTTATTTAAAGCAAAGTTCTGTAAGATAACTTGTCATATAATCATTTTCTCATTATATTTTCTCTCTTCTCTCTTAAAACAAATATTAAATATACTCAAAATCAATCTCAATGTGTGCTAATCGAAACCAAAAACAAATTCAAAACCAATTATTGTGCTCAACTCTTTATAATCAACATGAAACGAACACTTGTAAATTGATAAATGACAATCCTTACATGACACAACTTTCAACAACTACAACCAACAATCACCAACTACAACAACAACCAAACAACACTCCAACAAAAAATAGATCGCGCATCAAGCAAACAAGGTATAAAATGTACAAAATTGAAATTCTTTACTTAATTAATTGCTTAAGATTATAATTATTATTTGACGCTTTGTAAATACTATCTCGAAGTTATGATTTATTAACATAATTTAATGGTTTTTGGTGCAACCTTTTTCCTTTCATTGTAGTGGACATTTGGCTTGTTCGCAAACGCATTTTGGCGTTCTTGGCCTCTAGTTGAGTAGTTAATATATAGCTTGTCGAGGGTCGTTCATAGCTGGTAGCCACTGTGAACACCCCCCGGAATTACTTTGATCAAGCATTCTGCCTTTGTAGCAATCGAGAGGCTCTTGCGGAACTCGTTTGGAAATGGTTTACTCGTTCGAATGTTATTTTTGAGCATGTGATGCCGGTTAGACGAAGCTATCTCCAAATATTTGCTAGATCTTCCCACACATTAAGTACATGTCTAGATCCCCCACCTGAATTCCATTTGATTTTATAATTTTCTTGGTATTTGCTTTGTTAATGACTTATGATTTGCAACGAATTGGTTACTTCAGACATAGAAGTTTTTTTTAAGAGCCCACACACACTGCATAGGTAAATGCGGTCGAAAGAAGTACAGTAGAACAATAAGTACAGCACTCACTGACCTAGAACATTGGCGTTAAATACCACCGACTAACTACTGTACTGGTAAAACTAACAAAATAACTAAAAACACCCGCTTCTTTAACAAAAAGGAACATTTTTCCATCTTTCCCATAACACCCATAACATCATGACACAATCAAAACCCACTCAACTCAAAAACCACATTGCATGGTGTGTTGCCTCTAGCTTAGCATGTTGTTCTCTAGCTGTTTTCAAAAGTAGCTAATCACGGATTTATTGAGCTTAAATTAAAAGTGTACTGTGATCTTTACCCCTTAAATCAGACCAAGTTTGGAGCGCGTTGCAAAGCCTGGAATCTGGCACCTTACAATCCAGAGGCTCCACCTTGCATTCGTCTGCGCTTGGAGGAGACTTTGAATATGCCAAAGGAAATTGAGGGCATCATTGATCGTAAACGCATTCAGAGGTAAGTGGACAGTGGATTTCCCTGAACATTGATTCTTAGTTTTTGGTGGATAACTTTATATATAAATCCTAATTAATATTTCTCATTACATTATAGCTGGATCACTCACCATGCCGAAATTCGTGTGAAAGACATCAATCTGGACCTGTCCATGAGCACCGTAATTGGCCTAGGTGATCTGGCCGAGGATGAGGTCATATCCCCGCCCATGCCTGTAACAGTAAGATATACTCTATATGTATGCCTTAAAGAAAGCTACTTAAGACCTGCTAATATCTTAGGTAAATCTGGAGAATGTACGCATCAATTTGCTTGAGGACCGTCCACCCGTAAACATTACCTCACCGGGTCCAGTGCCCATAAATCTATGCATTGGTCGCATGCGTCTGGAGCGTGATCAGAGTGGATTATTAAACATACAGCCTATAGGTGGGATATGACTTAATACCAAATTAAGAATCAACGTTCTGTATAGTAATGCCTTTTATATTGCAGATACAAACATGAGTGCCACGCAGCATCAGGCGCTGGGCAGTGCCTTATTTGGAGCTCCTCGTGAAAGGGATCGGGAACTGCTGTCCATGCAGCTGGTGATGCAGCAGATGAAGCTGGACAACGATCAGCTGCGCAGGCAACTAGTGGACTCGAAAGTCAACACAGAGAGCTATAGGTAATACCTTAAACATAATTTAATTTATAAAGTTTCTCATCTTTGTATGAATCTTCGTAAAGGCAAAAGAACAAACAGGAGTCTGATGTGCTGCGATCCTATTTGAAAGCTGCTCAAGATGATATAAGCATACTGCTGGAGGAGAAGAAGGCCTTACTGGACACCATTCGTTCCTTGCAGGTAACTCAATTTATGGGGTTCTTTCCTTTAAAGAGAGTTTCTCACCGTTTCACTGTCTCTAACTTTGTTGATCGTAATGTTCACCTTAACTTTTCTTGCTGTTGTTGTTGTGCGTAAAGTTGAAACACGTTAAGCTTAAGAACACCACAAATAATAATGCAAGGATTAAAGGTCAGTCAATGCCCAGCACGCTTGAGCCTTGCCTGCACGCCCTCTCAACTTTTCACACGCGCTATTGCTTTTGTCTTGAAGTTCTCCATCCTATCTATGAGAATACTAAAAATATGCTCTAATTTCTTACAGGTTCAACTGACCTCATCGAATATGAGCCGAAAGAGTGATGGCAATAGGTAGCACAACTGCATGGACTGCATACAATGCTGCGGCGAGAACAACAATGCCTAGCACTAAGCTGATCCCCAGCCAGTATGCCGTATAGTCAGATGATATAGTCCTTCTTACCCATGACGTCCTCAACATCATCGCCATTCGATTTTGAGTTTAGCAGAAGACTGAGCCGTTCCCGAAAGCGGGCACTTTTCACGTTGCCGTTCGTCATTCTTACTTATACACCGAAGTATCTATATAACTATAACTATACTTACACATTGTTTTTATCGGTTTTAAGCTGCCACAAGCTTTTGCTATCGTTCCAAAGAATGCTTTATTTTTATTCAAAATTTTTGGAAAGATTTTTATGTTGATCTATTGCGTAGCCTTTTTAGAAACAGACTTTTAACTAACCACCATTGTTAATTATTTTACAAGAAGATAATCAAAGCGGAAGCTCGAACTATGTACAGTCGTGTCATTGATATTGCGCCTACTCACCATTTTGTATATTATAACTAATCCATAACGATTGGATAGGACATATATAGTTGTGATTCATGATCATATCAAAACTGAACTCTAGTAACTGTATGCATTGCTGTTGTAATCGTGTGTGCTAGCAAAACATTTGGCCAAATTTATTATATCGAACTTTATAGTATTCTCTCGGATGGGATAGACCCAACTGAGAGCTATTGAAATTTGTATTCACGTTCTTATTGCATTCCAATCGACTCGATCATCGTTTGCTACAACTACTAATCAAAACTAAATAAACAATGCATTACAATAATCAAAAGTGTTATAGACATCCTACACGTACGCCTACTAATAAAGAAACTTAAATCAAATGTACCATGTTGAATGAATCAAAAACTCAAGTCAGTAACGCAACGCGTATACAAATTTTAAATTACAATTTTTCGTATTTCGAATTGTAAATGAACAAATGTTTGTATTTGTATTATAAAGATTAATATTAAACTAAAACGATTATTGATTGTTATACATTATACGAAAGTTTTCATCTGTAGCTAGGCGAAATGAAGCATAAAAAATTGAAGTCATATTAAATATTACAAATATATTCAAATGTAAATGTTGGTGATGTGTTTTATTTTGGTTTTCAGATGTGGGATTGTTGGGGATATTTAAAAGATGTTGATAAAATCATATTTTAAAGAATTCCAAGACTTGATTATTAGACTTAGAGCCCCCATTTCGTCAGAAATTGTTGAATTTTTAGGATCGTGATGTTTGATAATTTGTTGAACTGGGATAAAGTGACCAAAAAATGACAGTAAAACAAGTGGGTTACTTTTATAAGAGTTTATTTTTATTGAAACTTTACGATCATAGCCAACTGCTGTTGCTGTTGTGTCTCATTCATAGAATTAAATACTTTTTAGAGCGCTTCTCTTGCTGTCGTCTCGATCTCTATTCATAGCAAACTTGCTGCACATTTGTGTGGTATTTCTCCTGTTTTTTTCTTGCGATTACATATGTAAAGTTGCACTAAACTAAAAGAAAAACCCTCGAAAAGTTGCACTTAAAAATTTCGATCTTTTTTCAGGCGATGTCTTTGTTTATCTCACTTACATGTTGTATACATATATATATTTCAAGTGTATTAATTTGCAAAAATATCTATTGGTATATAGTCTGATTTAGAAGAACGCCTAAAATACAGTTATGGGATAAACTGCACATGCACATATGTATGTTAGTACGTCTTTATGTGGGGATTCCATCGAAATACGCAATTCAAACGCAAAGTTTCTTCAACAATCAAGCAACAAAGTGTTACAGTAATAATAGTAATGAACATTTAAGCTACAATTGTGGTGACACCTGCCTTATGCTTTCGCCTCAAATAAATTTGCATTAAATATTTGATTTAATTTCATGTAAAATGCTTACAAATTAATTGTACAATGTGAAACAAGGCCATTTATGTGTGTAAATGAAGCGGTAAAGCTGCTCGAAATTCTCGATATCTTTCGTTATGATTTATGATTAATGTTTTTGCATTCTCCTCCGGTAACAGGCGCGTGTTTAATGACTTACGGATCAGCTTACTTATAGTATATATATATATTTGTTGTTCTTTATTAAAAATGCTAGAAAACACAAAAATCATTAGTTGTGGATTTTTTTACTTCATTTTTTATTTGATTTTTTCTTGTTTGTTTTTAGAGTAATCTTAGTTCTTCTTGTTGTTTTATACAAAAAATCAACAAAATAGTAAAACTAAAACTAAAGCAAAGAATTAATTTAAAAAGGTTTACATGAAATCTAAGAAAGTTGAATAAATCGAAATGATGATATTTGATTTCAATCGAAAATAGCTGGAAAACTCATAAAAACTTTTAATTGCATTGCTGCGTCTATATAATCGTTTATTTCTTAATCTCCCTCACTTTTGATGTTTTTTCATTTGTTTGTTTGTTTGTTTGTTGCTTCGTTCGTTAAAAACTTAAAGACACTTGGACAATGTTTGAAACTGCTACGAGTTGTTGGTTGATAAGTTGTTTTTGGGTTTCTTTAAATTTGATTTACAATTATCGATTGATGTAGATTGCAATTATACAATTAATATGTAAACATTGCTAGATTTGTTATTTATTTAATGCCTGGATGAATATTAAAACCATTCAAAATAATGCTTAATAAATAAATAAACATGTTTTTATTGTGGTTGTTTCTGTAGCTAGTGCGGGTTCTTTACTTGTCCTTGTCAGACTCGGCAGCGACCACGGGCTTCTTGTTGCCAATGGGGATGGCCACTCGGATCCTAAAAGGGATTTAAGGATTTAGTAAAATATCTTTTAGGATTTTAGAGGGTGTGACAATCTTACTTGTCGGTGATTTCTGTCAATTTGCTGCGCACCAGATCCAAGTAGGTGTCGATCGATTGCTTGTTGTTCTCGTAGACCTTGGGCAAGGTAAACAGCGAGACAAAGGCTAGACAAATACATTTATCAGTTTAAATTCCAATGGGGCTGGGGTAATCCTCGACTTACCCAGGATGACCAGAGTCATGCCGTTGAACCAGGCACCCACGTAGGTGAAGACCCACAGAATGACGCCAAACTTGATCGAATCGATGATGTCCTCAACCAGAAACAGGCGCCTCAGCTCCGAGGTGAAGCCATTGATATGTGCCACAGCCACGCCGGCAATGTTCTGCACCTTGTCCTGCGACAGCGTCAGGTCCAGCTCCAGGTATTCCCTGATTTAAAAAAGGTATAATATAAGTTATCTGTTTCCAAAGTACTTTAGTTAGCTCTCAAACTCACTTGAAGGGGTGTCCCTCGTTTGTCTTTTGCACGGCCTGTGTGACTGATTTGTAGATTCTGAAGGCCACGGTGCCGAAAAGAGTCAGCAGCGACAAGTAGGCGAACACACTGATCACCGAGAAGCTGGAGATGGCCACCAATGTGATCAGGCCGGCACCGAAAACAATGCCGGATTTCTTCACATCGCGCCAGTAGATAAGGGATTCCACTGGAAAGAAGACCAAATGGTTCAATTAGCATCTGATTTTGATACATGAAAATATATTTTTCATTCCCAATTTATACCCCTCATAAACCGTGAAAAGAGATGAGCTATAGTGGACTGAAAATACGAAAGTATACACACACGCCAAGACTCTCGCACGCATTTACATATATATCTTTTCGGATGGCGGCAATTATGCAATCTATGAGATAAATAGATGAAATGGATTCGAGCACCGCGGGCACATCTGCTAGGGTGGTAATTATCATAAGCATTTGTTCAGAGCAGCATGCAACTAATCTTTGCATTATATTGAAAACCTTAGCACCCCCTTCTTCTGAATTTCCTTCCCGATTCACCACTCACACAATTCGCTCGACATTTCGGGTTTTTCCTACGGATCGCTCGCGGTGCTACGTTTGACTTTCGTTGCCAAGTTCTACACACTAGAGAAATATTATTTAGCGTCTGCTGGCCGGGGGCAGAACATATAAGAATACGGCTAGAAGAAGAGTTCAAATTTTCCGGACCCAGCCGGAAAACAAAAGAGAGCCGAAAAAAGAGTGTATGCTAAATGGGAAGAGAAGTGTGTTCGAGTGGTGAACGGAAATGGAAATGGTTAAGAATCGATTCTCCAGCTCATGCCGGAATGTATCTCTTGGATTCAGCCGGTGACGTAAACACCTCTGTCCAATCCACTAAATTCTTGGCCAACGACTTCGGCTTCTCACTCGCTTTCAATGGATTCGAACGATAAGAAGTCACTGCCCCTCGTCGTCTGGGTTAACCCAATTAAGATACTAAACCAAACAATAGTTCTATAAATAAATCTCAAGTGTTGGACCCATCGGATTTGCTGGCTTATTGAGAGGTCATTAATTAAAACTGATTTATAAGGTTTTTCAGGTAGAAAACTATTAGGGTAACTTCAGTAAGGTGCTGCCAGTAGTGAATGATATATGGGCAATACTGATAAGCTATAATTGTTTTATGGTTCAATGGGTTGGGGAATATAATAAAGGTTGTAAATAGTTATCCTATTAAACGGTTAGTTGTTGTTTAAAGATTTTCAGATTTTAAGTCTTGAAATTAACATTAAATTGGTAAATAATTTATTAGAAAGTGCTGTAAGAACTACAATAGTCCCAATTTTTAGTCATACAACTATCATATAGTCTAAAATCCACTTGGTACCTCTCTCTAGAATACACCTGAACAAATAAGAGATAACTTTAAGCAGAACCCGCTGGGCAAACTAGTTTTCGACTGGGACACGGATTCAAATGTGTCCAAAGTTGCCAGGCCAGACACGATCTGAAGGGGGTATTATGTAAATATGGGGGAAATAAATTAGAAAGGAGACAATAGTGATGAGATGGCAGTGTCTGAGACCCTAAACTGGGTTATAAACTCTGAGAAAGCTCTCTCGTGGGAGAAAGTTTCCAAGGTATCAATTGAATCGAAGAGTTCGTTACAATTGCAACTCGAACCCCGCTGAAGAGATGTGATGATGGAGGAACTGGTTTGGTTTGGCTTGCCTTGAAACCCGTTTTGGTCGAAAGTGAAGTGCAGCCCCATCGGGACAGAAGAACACGAAAATGTGGTAGTGAGAAATCATTACGAAAAAAAAGAATACAGATAAGACTGACTGGGGCTGATAACATACTTAGTACCTGCAATGTCTACACTTGTTTAATAATTAAATTTAAAATCGCCAATGCAAGCTGGAATTATGATGATGAGCGAAAAATTTGTTTTTGCTGGTTGCCAAGGCACACAGTTCATCACAACGTGGCAGAAAATAAATATGTACCCGAAATTAGCACGGTCTAGAATGGTAAGCGAAACAAAAAAATTGGATAGTAAGACTGGATTCGGTGAGGTTTGCTTTTTGGTTATACAAATTTTGGTTCAGTATTTTGGCCACGTTGGCCATGATGATGATATTCTGCTGCTGACGTTGGCAGCAATCACTGCCGCTGCCG